GCGGGGCTGGGGGGCGGGGTGTTGGTGGGCGCAGGCCTCTGAAGTATCTGAGACAGACAGTTACATAGCATTGAACAGGAAGTCAATCTGACCGGGGCCAATCTCACTGTGTGTCCTTAGCTTGGTCATATAAACGTTGCCACAGTTTCGTCATCCATAAAATGGGTCCCCGCTAGCTCCATCCTGACTGTCTCCCAGGGTTGAAATGATCATCAGGTAAAATGCCTGTAGGACTGAGCATTTCCCCAGGGCCGTCTAAGTCTGCATAAATCTCATAGCTGGCAGGTACGGGTTTCTCACATATTCGATGAAGGTATGAGGCAGTGACTAATGAAGAATTCAGCCACTTCTGTGTCAAAGGCACTATTCCAAGATTCACAAAACCAGTTCCTTTAGTCTCCCAGCACCCTGAGGCGAGCGCTGCTGTTGTGGCTTTGCAGGGAGGAAACCAAGGCCCGGCTGTTTTTTCTTCTTACACACACTCCCCAGGCCCCCAGGCCCCAGGAAGTGCGCCCCTTTGCTAAGGAAATGAGGCCCACTTTCCCAGCAGAGGCCCGAGCCCTGCCCTGCCTGTACCAGGGCAGCTGGTGTGTCAGGACTGCCCAGCCCCGGAGCACGGCGGCTTCCTGCCGGGTGGGCGTGGGGGGCCTCCTCACTCTCTCCACCTCTCACCTCTGTCCTCCTCCCAGGGTTTGGCCCTGTCTTTACCACCAGTGACCCTGACAGCTTCTGGCAGCAGCTCAATGAGATCCAGGCCGTGGGAGGCGGAGACGAGCCTGAGATGAGCCTGTCAGCCCTGGAGGTCTGCCCTCCCGCCCCACTCCCCCTTTTCAGGCCCCACCACCAGGGGGCGTGAGAGCCTTCCTGGGACCCTGTCCCCATCCCTCCTCCAGAGTCTGGCCCCATTCGCTTCACTCCGGCTCTCCTTGCTCTACCCCGTTCCCTGCTCCGCCATCTTCACACCAGCCATTCCCTCCCTGCCAGCTGGCCCTGCTGCACACCCCTCCACTCTCAGACATCTTTGTCTTCACGGACGCCTCCCCCAAGGATGCCTTTCTCACCCACCGCGTGGAAGCCCTGGCTCAGGAGCGACGCTGCAGAGTGAGCATAGCCAGTGGGCAACCCGGTGTGAGCTCCCAGGGAGACCCCAGGCCCACAGTCTCGTAACCAGGGCCACGCCACACCGTGGCAGTCGAAGCAGCCTCGGCATGAAGTGGGAGCCTGGACAATGAGGCTGACATTTCCTGGTCCCTTCACAACTAACGAGTGAGAGGCCCTGCCCTTGATGAACTGAATTTGTATTTGAACCTGCCCCCAATAAACCATCTGAACACCCGGAGATCTAGCTGCCAACAACCCACTATGTGGATGACATATGGCAACAGTTACAAGGAGTGGCAACTACTAACGGGGTGTGTGTGTGTGTGTGTGTGTGTGTGTGTGTCAGTGGGAGACGCTGCGTAGCAGCCAGAGGGTAGACGGAGACCCTACCACCAGCCGGGAACCCTGGGGGGACGGGAGCATGGAGGCCGCACTGACCACGGGAGATGGCGCGTGGGCCCGAGTACTGGCCTCTCCTCTGCGCACAGGTAACATTCCTGGTGACTGAAGACCCGTCGCGGGGTCAGCGCCGCGTCCGGCGTGAGGTCTTGTCCCCGCTGCGCTTCGAGCCTTATGAAGTGGTGGCCCTGGCCTCTGGAGGCGAGGTGATCTTCACCCAAGATCAGCACATTCGCGACGTGGCAGCTGTTGTTGGGGACAGCACGGCCGACCTGGTGAGCGGACGGACGGAGGGACAGAGCTTTCCGCTCGGCGCTGGGGAGTGAGTGACGCTGCACGTTTCCCTCTAGAAGGAAGGGAATGGCTCCCATGGCCGTGTTGCCAGGTGTTGCGGTGGGAAGGGCAGTTTGTCTTCCTGGAGAGCCAGGCTATCCACCCCGCCCCTCCCATGTTAGTCCCCCCCACCCCCATCTTGGATTCCAAGGTTCTGTCCTGGGGACAAGTGAGGGACTCCTCCTTAAGCCCTCGCCTCAACTGCCACGCTCTGTAACTGTCCCTGGTTCATGGCCTTCTCGTCGGTATCTCCTCCAGGTGACCGTCACTTCGCTTCTTTCTGTCTGCACCTTTCTCTCGTCTTTGTTCCCACTCATTCCACGCCTTATCTCTTCCCCACCCTCCAAGGTGGTCCTGCCCCTGGAACCCCCTGTGGTGGTGCCTGGGAGGCCGCTGGTGTTCACTGTGGATGGGCTGCTCCGGAGGGTGACGGTCCGGATCCACGGGGAGGTCCGCAGCTTCTGGATCAGGAACCCTGCAGGTACTTCCGTCGTCGTGTGCCAAGGCAGAGGGAAGGACTGAGAATGGAGGATGGGGGCCATCTGCTAAGGGGAAGGAGTGTCTCCTGTGACCGTCTCTTCTCTCCACTCCCACCCAGGGGTCTCCCAGGGCCAGGAGGAAGGCCAGGGCTCTCTCGGCCACACTCGCCGCTTTGGGCAGTTCTGGATGGTGAGCTTGAATGACCCCCCACGGACAGGGACCTGGGAGATCCAGGTCACAGCTGAGGGCAACACCCGGGTGAGAGTGCAAGGTGAGGAGGAAGGCATCCCTGGGAAGGGGAGGGGCGGGGAGCTGCAGATCTCGAGAGCACATGGGTCACAGCCAGCTGGGGAAGGTCTCTGACTCCCTCCCCCCACAGCTCAGACGGCGCTGGACTTCCTCTTCCACTTTGGGATCCCCGTGGAGGACGGCCCCCACCCCGGCCTCTACCCCTTGACCCAGCCAGTTGCAGGTGCATCTATACCCCCCTCCCCAACTTGTTTATCGATTTCACACTTACAAAATTCTTATTTAACTTTCCACTGGGTTATAATTTACATGTTTTACGCAAATGTGCACAGGACGCCCCCCTGACCGCCCCACCAGTCCTCCCAGGGGCAGTCCTGTTCTGACCGCAGACCACTTCTCCCCGCCCTCCGGCCGCAGGTCTCCGGACCCAGCTGCTGGTTGAGGTGACAGGGCTGCGCCCCGGCGG